TGCTTTGCCATTGCCTGCCTCTGCACAGCCTTCCTTGGTGGTCTCCCATCCAAGTATTGACCCTGCTTAGCTTTCAACTTATGGCAACCCCAGCAAGGGGCTTCCGAGGCAAGTGAGAAGCAGAGGTGGTTTGCCATTGCCTTCCTCTGCACAATCTTCCTTGGTGGTCTCCCATCCAAGTACCAACCTTGCTTAGCTTCCAATTTATGGTGATCCCAGCAAGGGGCTTTCAAGCAAGTGAGAAGCAGAAAGTGGTTTGCCACTGCCTTCCTTTGCAAAGTCTTCCCTGATGGTCACCCTTCCAAGTACCAACATTTATTAGCTTCCAAGATCCGATGAGATTGGGCTATACCTTGCTGCCTTCCCTCCCGAGGCAGATTATAGAATTTGTTTTGATGCAATCAGTACAATAAGGCAGCCATTGAACAGTGTCATGGGACCAGGATTACAGGATTAGAAAAGAATGCAAAAAATAACCCCAACTGCTGAAGGCGAGGTATACTGTCAGCAATAGTTTCAGGAGGGTAGTCTGGTTGGTCTGCAGTAGGAGAGCTAGATTTAAGCCCATTTAGTATTGTTATTTATTTGTTTGTCGCTTTCCACTCAAATGGGCTCAGGGCGGGTTACAAGGTCACACAATCTCAACAACAATAGTTAAATAATTAAAACAATAATTTAAAACAATGAGGTCCATCAGTGGCTATTAGCCACAAGGTATAGATAGGGGCTCTCAGTCTGGGACAAGTGATGCTCTGTATTCTTGGTGCTTGGGGGGGGGGGGGTCAACAGTGGGGGGGCTTCTAATGTCCTGGCCCCACTGCTGGACCTCCTGATGGCACCTGGTATTTCTGGCCACTGTGTGACACAGAGTGTTGGACTGGATGGGCCTTTGGCCTGATCCAACATTGGCATCTCTTATGTTCTTATGATAAAAACAGCAATCAAGCTTCGTGTTGCTATGCTCAGTGTAGGCTGATCATAAAGTTATTTCAGTAGGGGAGGCCAGAGATAGATTACGGATGCTTGCCGCCTCAACAGAAAGCCCGGCGGAACAGCTCCGTTTTACAGGCCCTGCGGAATTGTAACAAATCCTGCCGGACCCTGATCTCAAGTTGGAGCTTGTTCCACCAAGCTGGGGCCAGGACAGAAAAGGCCCTGGCCCTGGTTGAGGCTAGTCAGACATCCTTGGGGCTGGGGAAGACCTTTAAGTACCTTAAAGGCCAACCAGATTTCCAGGGTATACGTTTTGACTCTTGAAAGCTTGGTGGAGGTGGTGGAAAGTGCTGTTGTGTCACAGCTGTTACATACCCCATGGAGTTTGCGAGGCAAGAGATGTTCAGAGGT